GCAAAACCAATGCACATGCTACAAATGGATATAAAACAAATACAGTTTTGATGGCTGAATTCCCGACAAGCAGAGACCTTGCTAGTTGCAAGGTAACACATTTTCGGCGTGTTTTGATAGAACATGTCCCTTCTGGAAGCACCGGCAAATGGAGATCAAGGCAGGGATAGCTAAGGACAAGAGGCTGGTGCCTATCAAGTCAAAAGTAACCAAGAAGGCAGATAAGATTGATGCTCTAATCAAAGCAGTTAAGAGGTATTCTGAAGGCTATCCTTTTAATTTTATGGCAGCTTCTACAGATAATACAGACCCAGGGTATGAGTGATGAAGAGTTATGGAGGCAGCAGCACGCACAGTGCGCCCTACACAACTCACCTGTATTGAGTGGATGCTGTAGCTACTGGTAAAGCTCGTATGAACGACCCTTGTCATTAGGCAGCAGAGCTGCAGGGTATATATACACTGTGGCCCATAGGCTGACTAAGCTACGTGGAATATCTATAATCCTACTGAGCTCCACCTATGATGTCACTGACCCACATGAGCTCCGTGCCCTTGTACAATAATGGAATATACCAGAATATTCCAGAGGGTTCCGGTACGTTCTGGTACGCTGTAGAACCTGGCAGCTAAGTCAGCGCCCAGTTCAACAATGAGGACTCAGGGGAAGAGGACTACCATATTGCGCTTTTTAGCCGTTTAATAATTCTCTTTGTTGCATATTTCACAACAATACTACTGTAGATGTTATACTAGCTGTATAAAGTATCAAAGTTTCTCTTTATTGTGCAGGAATAGATCATTTAGTCCGAGGTTGGCAGAGGAGAACGGCCTGTGGCGCGAAATCACTGCGGGCAGAGACCGATGTCCCGCCGGCGGGCATGCCAGGAACATCTCCCTGATGGGAGAACACTTTCCCAGAATGGTCCTTGCTGGACCATAACCTGGACATTAAGAATGTCCTTTGAGTGAACAAAGAAAGGTCTGCGGGACATTTACTGTGGTCCCCAAAAATCAGGGGACATTTAATTAACATTGACCTTTCATTCTTTATGTCCGTATCATGTCCCGCTACGGAGCATCCTAAGAAAGTGTTCTCCCACCCTTGCCGTGAAAGATGAATGACTGGTGGCGGGACACCGGTCCTTGCCCGCTGTGAATGATGCGCGTGAACAACGCACACACCACAAACAAATATAAACAAATATAGTTTTGATGGCTCAATTCCCGACAAGCAGAGACCTTGCTAGTCGCAAGGTAATAGACTGTAGCTCAGTCTCCTCAGGCCTCAGGCATCGGGACCACATTGCAACTAGGAACTTGAAGCGCAGTTTGGACAATCACATACCAGCAAACTACATCCGTGTCGGCCGCGATCACTAAGCAAAATCGTGCATGGCTCCGAAGGTAGACAGGCACAACGAAGTATCAATGCTTTGTTATAACAGCGCATTGTGTGCAACGCGTGTAGAAGACCAACAGCTACATTGGGCAGCGGACGAACCAGACTTCTCGCCGATATAGAGAAAGAAATCAGCGATGTCGGGGAACGCTATAGCACTGCTATGCCCAAACGTCATCATCGGCGCTGGAGGAATCGCACTAGCCATCCCTCCTTTCTAAGCCAGCAGCATGAGAAGTGTTGGTACGAGCCCCATGGAACGTCTCAAGTTCTCCACCGGTGCGGTCAACATGAACTGTTCCACCCTACGCACCACCTCCTCACCGTCAGCGGACTTGCAAAACTTTTGAAGGGATTCAACCTCCATGGCACGGACTTCATCGTACCTACAGCGGCTATCAGGCGATGGGTGGCGGTGAATTTACCGCAACGACTCACGTCCAGGTGAACTTGGAGAAAGCTTCTTCCGCAATGTTATCCTTGGAGAGGCTAGCGCGGATAGCCTCAAATGCTATGTTTTTGAGAGCCTGTAGTCCAAGCTGTGATCCAATTAGCCACATATGGCCCTTTCTTCTTATGCAAAATTAACCTTATCCGCCAAGCGGTACATGGATTTCGGGGAACACCGCGGGAGGTCGGCCCTTACTGCACCAGCATCGTCTTCACCCGTAGTATTGGCCAGCTGAGACCTCAGCGGTGCAAACTCAATCTCGCCAGTGTACAAATAATGTATTAACGCTGTAAACCTAGACCTGTGGGTGAGATGATGCTCATAGGGGAATGTTCATCACGTACGTGAGCAGCGCAGCGTCCTTTACAACAACTGTTCGCCCCAGTGGGCCAGAGCCGTCAGGTAGCGCGGTGTCTGTAGCTGTGACACTCAGCCCCAATTTTGCGCTGTTGGGAGATGATATCATGACGGGTATTCGTCCGATTAAAATTATCTTATATTTACCTCTTAGGAATATCCGGGACTTGTTCACACTCCTTGGTAGCGGCTTGACTTCCATTCTCGTGCGCGAAGTCTGAGTTTTCGAGAGGAGTCTGGGGTATCGCTTCCGTCTCCGAAGGTTCCACATTAGGAGTATCTGGTGCTGTAGGTTCGACATCATTATGCAACATTCCCTGCTGGGTATTATCCGAAGATCCGTCTTCCACGGTCGCGGGAATGGGCGGCCCCTGCATCGGCCTTTCTGAGTCCGGATTACCCTCTTCGGGCACGTCTTCTAGGTCACTGTCTGACGAGTAGTCGTACTCGTCAATGAAATCAGGTTGATTTTGGGGGAACTGAGCATCCAGAACGCCTTTAACTGACTCAGCAAATCCGTCAGCCGTAAGCACTGCGGCAGATGTCAGTACAAAGTCGATCCCAACTAGCGACATGAGAACGTACGTGATTTGAAATAAGGCGTATGTTCGATGAGTGCTCCGCTATTGGCGAATATTGGGGCAGGGCGAAGGACCCTCCCTGAACGTTCGCGTTGTGAGAAAGCGAAAAATCTCGTGTCGACAAAAGTGCCGGTATGGATAGACTTCTTCAGACTGGTCTGTAATGGTGGACCCACTTCAGGCGCCCTCGGAATGGAAGGTGGTTTAGAACATCGAAGTGTGACTGTGCACTTGATGCTGAGAAGCATGTGGGGAATTGATCCATCTATCTTCCAGGACCCCATTTGAACAGTGCAAGACGGAAGTTTCAATTTCGCTTCCGGCTCGACTGTGACCCAGGAAGTCTCGCCGGGAGCCCCGCCGGGGATGCCCGTTGAAGCGGATTTCTTTTTGACGTCGATCCTTACAGTAAGTGGACCTGCAGAGGTATCCATGCCAGACGGATCGAAGTAGATCTCCAAGGAGCGTTCCGTGATTGTACTATACATTAAGTTTCCCTTCCTTAAAAATCCACTTTTCTTGGAGACACTGACAGTCGTTGAGCGGGTCATCGCACCCAATCGCCATCCAGAAGAAGAGGCTTGAGAGAAGAGAGGTTTAAGTGCACCGGTCGGGTCCATGAGCTGCCCAGCGGAGTCCAAGCGCACGTCATACAACGAAGTCACAGTGGCGGTCTCGTTGTTCAAGTTCATAGCTCACAGTCTAGTCGGAACCCGAAGCGAGGGGGTTACACCTGAAGGCCTGAAATCCGAGGGGTTGACGCTCGGACATGAGGCGTGAAGCTTTATAAGCATGCGGGTCCCTAGAAGAATCTTCAGAAGACGGGCACGAGGCTCAATCACTGTAAAACGGTGAGGAATGGCATGAGTTCGTCTCTGTCGGAGAGTCGCTAGGCCCAGAAGATGCGTTGACGTCTTGAACCTGCCAAGTCCGCCATGAGACCTAGCAGTACTCAGCTTGCCAGGTGCCAGTGATTCGCACCGTCCCAGTCTAGACACAGAGCATACAGACGAAAAAACCAGGAAAATATGGAATGGAGTTTGACACGAGAAAACTGTGCAACGCGAATCCGTTATTGTGAACATCCGCATGTGCACAAGTAGGAATATCACTGACGCAAACCGGCAAACGGGACGAAATGACAACGAGGTTGTACGTGTTTGATTCGAATTCCTTCCGAAAACATACCCAATACGGCCTGCTGGGCCTACACTCTCCCTTTACAACTGTTGAGTCGTATTTACATAAAAGATTTCTCTAGGCATTCCTGTGATGTCTACCTCTCTCGAGCATCAGGTTGTCAAAACCTCAAAATCCAAGAAGAAATCGAAGGATAAAGACAGGACTAGGGCGAAGGAGGTCGCGGTCTCTTCATTATCAAACGTAGAGCCGAGAAATGAAGGAGAAAACCCCCACTGGGCATACCGGCCACCGGACGGTGCTGTAGAGATCGAATACGACAGCGACCTAGGTGAATTCGACTGGGATGCGGTCAAAAGTGACGAGAACCTCGAGCTATGGGTTATCAGGGTTCCAGACGGGGTAAGTAAATAAGCCATCGAGTAAGTGGACGTGCTAACCGAGTTTTCCGCAGCTCAAAACAAAATACTTAGAGGGCGTCGAGATCGAGTCTTTACCGTCTATGTCTCGGAGCGCTCGTATAGGCTCCATTGACAGAAAACACACGTCCTATGACATATGGTCCATAGGGGAAGAAGATGACGAGGAGAAGCCCGACGTCCTTATCTTAGGCGAGGAGATGAGAGGTCTGTCATGCCTGTTACCTCGGAGCAAGAAGGGAGGGAAGCTATATCAAGGTATGCTGTTCTGTCTGTATAAGTTGGCGTTGCCCTCTAATATCCGCTTGTCCCTGGGACTAAGCTCCAAAGACCTTTTCACGACATATTATCATCACGAGCAAGCCGACTCTACCTACGCCAGAACCCTCGTCCGACTCCTCCATAGACTCCGGGTCTGATCTTCAGAGCGCACCGCGACAGAGGTACCCGAAGGAACTTTTGACGCATCGTTTCATGCCTTACGGTTCCCTTGGTGAAAACGGGGAGTCGGCCGGCGATGCTATGGACGTGGATTTGGAGGCGCCGCCATCTACTCAGGTACCGAGTGCGACCCAAGATCCGGACAGCCCTGTGCGGGAGAAGAAGCACAAGAAGCGCAAGGGTGATGCTGAAGGAGACGCCGCTAAAAAACCAAAGAAGACGAAAAAGTGATCTCCACTGCGTCACCATTGCTGGTATCATTCTTTGTTCTTGGCGCAATGCGAATATTCCTCAACGTGCGTCGCCTCCTCCACCTATCATTGTGCCGCGACAAAAAAGTACAACAACGCACACCGCACCGACTATGCAATCACCCGACTTCCATCTCATCTCCTCTCGCCCTCCCCTTCCCTTCACTATCACCATTAGTACTACTACCCTTAGTCCGTGTATCCGCTGGTGTAGACTTTAGCTTCTCCGCCTCCTCCTTCCGTATATCCTCCTCTAGCCCCTCGTACAAACTCTTCTGCGGTAGCCCATAGATCCGTCCGGGGTTCTCCCGCTCCTTCTCCTCAAACACCGACCCGACCGCGTCGACCCACTGTCGTCGCGTATTCACCAACTGCTTTAACTGCGCCGGGACAGTGAGCTTGAGCTCGTCGTCGGGGCCCAACCCTAACGCGGCAGGACAAGGAGGTAAGGAAGAGATGAGGACGGTATTATTGCTGCCACTGCCATTTCCGTTGCCGTTCACAGTGGCATTTGCGTTGGCGCTCCCATTGGCACTTGCATTGCCGTTGACCTCCACACCTTTCTTCTTCTTCTTGCTCACCTTCGGCGCGTCCTTCTTCTGCAATTTGGTGTACAAGCTGATGATGTTCTTGTCGATCGAGTCGCGCAGATCCAGGTATTCCTGGTACCCCAGGCGATCGCGTGCCACTGCCGCTAGGCGGTTCTTACGGGCCTTGTTAGTGGCGACTACGGTTCGTAGCTGTCTCTGCGCTTGTCGTAGAGCAGCGGATATTGGGTCGTCGATGGCCTCGGAGTAATCAGGCTATATGGCGTAAATGTGAGAACGAGGTATACTGGAGGCACAGAGAGAGAGTGCTACCTTCTCAGTTATAAGCCCGTAGAATCGAGCGGAATCCTTGATACGCTCTTCCAAGTCAGCCACGTTGACCTTCTCCTTCGCTGCAGCGAACGCAGCACCTGTAATACCAGGCCGGCCTTCCATCGCATCCTCGGCAGCCTTCACGCCCTTCCACACCGTGGAATCGGGTATTGGCAACAAAGCGCTCAGTAATCGCTCCGTGAACGGACCGTGCCCTTTCTCCTCCGTCACCGCATCACTCTCAGTGAGCGTCGAAGGATCCCACTTTGGCAAGGGGCCTGTAGACGACGAGGTAGCCGCAGCCGCCACTTGCGCCGCGCGCACGGACGCTATATCCGTCAGCGGCATCCCATAGTACGCGATGTCCTCCTCCTCCCACACCTCCGAGTAGTGCCGCCCGAGCTTGGGCATCACGTACGGCTCGACCTCATCCGCGGTGTACTCGAGGAAGCCCACGTCCTCCTCCTTGATCGGGCGCAGCCATGGTTCGATGCTCGAGTAGAAGGTCGTGACGAGGACTTGCGCGGGTGGCTTGACCTTGCTGAAATCGTCATTGACGTCGGTCGGCTTGCTCGGGCCTGGAGTGGGTGGAGGCGGAACTGGTGGGCGGGAGGGAACGAGCACCGGTTGGGGGACGCCGAAGTCAGGTCCGGAGGGCTGGGAAGGGTAAGCAGGAGGACAGAGTGTGTAATGTTGAAGACAAACCTTTAAATGTAGGGAATTTGGCGGTCCCTTGGAGGCCTTATGGGTGTGGATGTGTATTGAAGGAGTCGGAGATCCTTTGCGGATACGTTGAGGTTCTGTGTGGCAAGTCAGACGAGATGTGGCAAATAATAACGGAGGGCGTACCACGTTCATCTTCGCTCTCGCCAGCTTCTCTTTTCCGCTTCTTCTTCTTCTTCTTAGTATCCTCCACTGCTTTACTTAAACTGTCACGACGTTAGCATTGTGGGAGGCACCGGAGCTAGACGGTGGCATACGATTTTCGAGGGTCCAGAAGCGGTTTTGCAGATGTAGATGGTACAGGAGTGCCTCCTACCACACGTGGCCGCGGCGGTAGCGACTGAGGGAGCTTGGGCTCTTCGGCAGGAATGGGCGTGACTGTGCCATATGGTAAACCAAGCGTAAGTTGAGATCTAGCGGTTCAAAAAATATGAAATTTCACGTACAGTCGCGCTCCTTCTTCACCTTATCAACCGCTTTCGCCTTACCCTTCTCCTTCTCCTTCATTCGCTTCATGGACTCCTCGATAAACCTGAGGTCATACTCCGCCTTCTTCGCCCGCTCCAGGGCCTTGGTCTTCAATAACTTCAGTTCAGAGTGTAGCTCCTCCAGTACATCAGTTGGTGGCACGGAATCAGGGGGGTTCTTGAAGAGAGATGAGCGTAGGTTGGGTGGCGAGGCGAACTGTGTAAGTGGATGGGCCATGGCGTATCTCTGGCGGCAGAACGCGCGTTTCCGCCGGGTAAAGACGCGCTCCGAGGTTATCTATTGCCCTGGAAACAAGTCCAGTCGAAATTGTGGCGCGAATGCTGCCAGGATACGCGTTATAAGATACGACCAACAAGTACGGGAACAAGATGCATCAGGCGCTTCTCTGACTGGCTTTGTCCATATTTGGGTGTTTGTCTTCCCACGCACCGCTTAATTGGCAATTCGTAGATGCAAGCGCAAAACATCGAAGGCTTTCTGCCTGCTATTATGATATGTCATGGTCAAACAGCGCTCTAGCTCGTCGTCTGAGACGTCCTCGAGCGATGATATTGAGCTGGAGACGCTGGACGACATAGCCGTCACACCAAATCCTAGGCTTCACCAGAATGGAAGCGGACACAAACACTCGTACGAGGTGGTATACGACCAGGACGATGATTATTCGGCGGATGCGGACGAGGGAAGTCGAGCCTTGCTTGACAACGTAGACAGGCCTCGTGGAAGAGAACGGATACCGGAGCAGGAAACTGGCGTTTGGAGTCAGGTCAAAAGTATCGTAATCGAGGTGCGTTGTCCTTGCATTGAAGTCTGTTCTGCATTAACCATACTTTCTGGTCAGACAGCACCCACCCTTCTGTTCACTACTATTGGCTTGCTCTTCACCGGAGAGCTACTAGACCATGTCTCGGTACGCCGTCGAATATTACTGGTGGACGACATACTGAGGGCATAGCCAGCATTGGAAAGCGATGACCCGCGTGGACGAGTTAATCATGATTATACCAGTTGTGCTCAACCTCAAAGGTAATCTGGAGATGAATCTGTCGGCACGATTAGGCACTTCAGCGAATCTTGGTGACTTGGACGAACCCAGACAACGGAAACAAATCATCCTTGGGAACCTGACTCTACTTCAGGTCCAGGCTACGGTCGTGTCGTTTGTGGCGGCATTTGTTGCTTTTGTGCTTGGACTTGCTATTCCAGATCCGCCTCCTGTTCCAACGGCCCCTTCAAATGGTACCACGCCAGATGCTACTGCGGAAGTTGGACGGTTTCTCCTCAGCAGGGCTATTCCCGGCCTCAGAATCCCTCGCCCGCCAAGACCTATATACGATGGTACCAAACCAAAGTCAGGATTATTTGAGTGCGTGTCCCACACCCCATCATACAATAGGTAGTAGCTGAACTCATGTAGATATATCATGGTGGTCTCGACAGCTATGTCCGCCGCCTGTCTATCCAGTATACTACTCGGCTCTTTCATGTGTTTCCTCATCGTAATGTGTCGACGGTTCGGGCGTGATCCAGGTTCGTCATTTCGCGCATCTGCTCTAACCGGGGCTGCTCGTTAACGAATTCCAGACAATATCGCGCCACCCATAGCATCCTGCCTCGGCGACCTCGTTACCCTCACACTAATAGGCCTCGTATCCTCCCTCCTGATCAACTTCGTCAACACGCCCATGCCCCTAATCCTCGCCATCCTAGTCATATGCTCTGCCATCGCCTGCTTCGTCGTGACGCGCCGTAACCCGGTCGTGAAAGACCTCCTGAAGCAAGGCTGGTCCCCGCTCTTTGGCGCAATGATCATCAGCAGCGGCACCGGTATAGTCCTGGACATGTTCGTCAGTCGATACGAGGGTTTTGCACTGCTAGCCGTCGTCATCAGTGGTCAGTCCCTTCCTCGTTTACCCTAAATGTGACCCCCTCACAGCCTTGATAGGTCTACCAGGAAGCGTTGGCTCGATCTTTGTTTCTAGGTTATCGACAGCGCTGCATACTCATTCCCTTGACGCCCTCCCGACGTCCCGTGCCGCGACTGACAAGAAATTGTCCCAGCCGAGTCCGCGGCTGGTGATGACCACCCTGCTCCTCGTCACGCTGCCCGTTGAGCTCATATTCCTCACCGTCCTTCGCGCCCTAGATTGGCTCAGGCTTCCTATTGTCTTCGTCGTCTTTGCCGTCTTTTTCTTCTGCTGCGCTGTAAGTGAGCCTCCCCTATGTGCATCCAGTATCTCACTGATACATGTTGACTACCGGCTTAGGTCACGATATCCCTCTTTTTGGCCCAGGCGCTCACTAACTTCTTATGGTCCAAGGACCTGGACCCGGATATGTACGCGCTGCCCATTCATTCTGCGCTCATGGACCTTGTCGGACAGCTGCTCTTGGTATTGTGTTTCGAGATAGTATCATTATTAGGAGTTCGTCTCAGTGCTAAGCCGTCGCAGTGATGGGCTTATCAGCGTCTATCACACTAGTTGTACGTTCCTGCTTCTTTTTGCGAATTTCTGAGCTGACTTGTTCCTCAGCTGACCCTGTAGAATTATTTCAGCTCTCAGATAATTTATTACGGACTATTGAGGATTCCCATGATTTGTCACATCTGGGCTGTGCTGGATGTCCATCGACTAGCGGTTTCCACAAGACCGCCAATTTTGCCGTGCAAGTCTATATGAATGCCCGGCCCGCTCTTCGGACCTTCTGCTGCCGTACATTCCAGCGAATTGAACCAGGCAGGGGTACCAGGTAAGATCGGTAGCATCGTGTTGACGTGAATGGCTTTTGGCGAACGAGTGTGGTGATGCGGACAAGTTGAGAGCGTGCGCTGTTTCCAATTATACCCTGGCTCAGGCGAATAGGCCTTTCTCCGTGGTAGGTTGCCTCAACCGTTTGTCCTATTTTCCTGGGTCCCGCGTTACGTTGGCAATGGGCCTAGTGCCCCCCCTCGGGTCAGCTGGGTAATGCTACCCCAGCTCAGAAGGCGGTTGCACCTGGGCTGGGTTTCAGGATATCATTTAGTAGTGCTGCTGCGCCGATCTGTTACGAGGACGATAGCTCTTCGGGACTGCGGACAATGTCTTTATCTCGATGTGCTGAGTATACCCCTCCATAAATGGTATGTTTATTTCCGCTTTCGTCCACGTCTTCGTAGGAATGAAAAGCTTCGTTCTGAACCTCAAGATGCTCAACTCAGTCTGGGATGGCACACTTCGAATGGTCGGGAGTGTTCTGATACACTCAATGCCTCTCCAAATCTCTACGTTGGTCTTACAGCTTTCTGTTCGAATATACTCAGAATTTCCAGAATTTTCCACAACGACCTCGGTAAATGGGTGCCCTCATGTATAAAGGCGGCTCCCCGTCGCCACAATGTCACCGCAAAGAAGAGTGAAACATCAGCAGCTACTGGATACATCTCGCGTACACACACTAACTGCGCAATGTCTCTGACGAATTACTTCGACCCATTCTTCTCCCTGTCTGAGTTCGACCGCCTATTCGACGAGGCGTTCGCAGCTCGGACTGGAGGTAACACCAACAACGGACAAGTTCAGCGCCGTGAGACTGGTAGCGGCTCACGTTCCCTGAGACCCAGGTAAGGATATCTGTCAGATGTGCTGACTGCGGACGCAGTATTGACTCCCTATGCCCGTAGGATGGACGTTCACGAAGATGCTCAGAAGAATATCGTAACTGCCACCTTCGAGCTCCCGGGCTTGAAGAAAGAGGATGTACAGATCGATGTTCACAACAATCAGCTGAGCATTTCTGGAGAGAGCAATATTTCAGCCGACCGGGACGAGAACGGCTACGCCGTCAGGGAACGCCGGTACGGCAAGTTCTCTAGGATACTGCCACTGCCTCGGGGTGTGAAGGTTAGTACAGCTGTGGCTTCCAATGCTGTCTGCCGGATAGACTACTGACTCGTTGATTAGCCAGAGGACATCAAGGCCTCCATGGAGAACGGCGTTCTGACTGTTACATTCCCGAAGACAACGCCTGAGATGGCTCCCAAGAAGATCACCATTGCATGAAGCTTCGTCTCGCCTTTTGAATTGCAATATGTAGCATACCCTTGATGTATCATATGTACTCCTGTGTACTCCTGTGTATCATTACTCTCATTTTCGACTGTCCAGTCGTAAATCCCATATCTGTTAACACGTACACAAGCCGAGACGTACTACAATGTTACAGCTTCGTGAATACAACCTCAAGGTCGTGCGGTAGTGTTAGAGCGAATGGTGAAAATGCATTATGCAGCCCATCCTTGTGAATGCTATCATCGGGCAAGGTCCACCTGTATTCTCGGAGTAGCATTGCTATGAGGCAACGCTGCTCATAGATAGCAAAGTTGCGCGCGGGGCATTGCCGAGGGCCAGTCCCGAACGGCACCCACGCGTCGTCGCTAGCGTCCGATTTACCCTGGTCAAGAAAACGGTCCGGCGCGAACGTGAAAGGATCCTTGAAGTAACCGCCATGGTGATGAATCACATAGACGTTTACGTTCAAAGACGTGCCAGCCGGTATCAGGTACTTGCCCAGCTGGACTGAGGTTTCCGAGCATCGGGGGAGGATGTAGGATATGGGGGTATTGATGCGGAGCGCTTCCCGAACACAAGCATTGACGAACGTCAATTTCTGCAGACGTCCAACCGTAGGCTCGCCTTGCGGCCCCAGTGTTTCGAGTACCTCTTTCCTAGCCCTTTCTTGCATATCTGGATGTCGGGCCAGGAAGTAGACTAGACTCGAAAGCCCTCCAGCAGATGTATCCTACGTCGATGGCTATCAGACCCATAAGATCATTAGCCCGTTGAGTCCACTTACATGCCCGGCCATGAATAGAAGGACCATATTATTTCGTAGTTCCGTATGTGTCATATTCGGTTCCCGCAGTAAGAAGGTCATTATATCTTCACCGGGATCTAGCCTCTTCCGTTCGAGCAATTTGTCGAAATCGTCAACGAGATTCTCTATTCGCCGAATAATCCGCCGTCTAGGGAAGATCCTCTCGAGGACGGGCATAACGAGGTACACGGGGTTGGCGATTTCATGCATGATTGAGTTATATTCCAGGACAAAGTCGCTCTCCTGCGTAATCGCGTCAAAGTCGTGCCCGAGGACGGACGCCCCAACCGCGTCCAGAGCCACCCTCTGCGCAATATCATCCCAGCGCTTGAGACCGCCCTTGCCAATGAGAGCGAAGACTTTGTGAGATAAGGCAGCAAACATTTCCACGGGAAGGTTGTTAAGTAGGGCGGCTCGTACGATCCTCGAGTGCTTCTTCCAAGCATCACCATTAGCTTGGATCATGTTCATGCGCCCTATCAGTCTCCACAGCAGCATATCATCTGGAGGGAGTTCTTTCGGGAAGTTTTGCATATTATCCAGCATCGCGCGAGCGAGCTAAAGCACTTTATTAGCGCTGTGGTCAAGTTCACGGGACGACGTCCAAACCTTGACGTCCAGAACATGGACCATCCACCGCCCAAGTGTCCAAACCAGGACCACACCCTCGCCTCGCTCACTCATGAAGGGAAGGATGAGCCTTCGGAAGCGATCTCCCTCCGGCTCGTTCGAGACATAGCTCAATAGCAGAGGTAGGATGGCTACTCGTGGTAGATGTTGGAGATGAGGTGGTACCACGAGCTTGGAACGAGCCAAGAGGGCCAAGACGCAGACAATGCAGAGTAGCCAAAGCGCAGGGGCGTCCATGGGTAGGAGGGAGGGGGGAAACGGACGTTGGATGCATCTTTATGCATTACTTCGGGCACTCGAGTCCGAGACCACCGCGGTAGGTCCCGAAAACACGAGGACTAAAGGAACCGTACGGATCCGCGCCTATGCATCCCGCGAAACGATGCGACCTAACAAGTGCCTCCACGAATGGGAGAGGTCTCGCGACTCGCATTAGCTAACAATTCCGAGCTAAGTCAGCCATGCAATCAGCTAGACGAGATAGACACCGATTAACGCCGCGTTCCTGTGTATCCCCTTCGAAGCTAGGACAGAACAGGCTCAACACTGCAGAGACGAACTAGATGACATGATTAGAGCGATAGCCCCCTGATCTAGTGGGCAGTAGGGTTTACTTACTACGCTCAACACTCATCCTACGGACCACATTTGCGCGATCCTGTCAAAGCGGAAGAGCAGTTGAAGGTATCTATTTCAAATTCGGGCCCGGGTACGTGATCTCGAGTTCGCACATACATCTTCGAAATTTCATCGGTCTCTCTGGAGAGCCGATCCTGACTGCATATCAGACAAATCGGGCCGACGAGATTATGATGTAGAGAGCACGTACAGCATTTTCGGTAAGTAGCTGCAGGGCGACGACTTGACAAATGACATCGGGCAATCAGTGACAACAAGTACATAACAAGTAGTGTCTCGGCACGCAACCTTTCCCCTTCTGGTGATCCTTAGTAGCATATCATGAACCTTGAAAGTTACGTTACTGGATTTGATCTAGGCTCGCCATCGTTGTCAATCCTTGAAATCTTCGCCTCATCGGCCTTTGGCCAATCGTTTCCCCTAGATACATGATATTATCGCCGTCGAGACATACACGTATATTCATGTGACATTTGTATATTGAATACTCGCAGAGGTGTACGCAATAATCTACCTGGGGGCAAAAGTCAGCGTAAACCGCCTGTACGAGGGCCCACGTACCGGTCCTTCTCGAACTTGCACCTTCCCCCTCCTGGTAATCCGTAGGGGCACCTCACTGACCCTAAATGCCAGTCCCGTGAACCCCTCCACGCCTCCGCCGTCTCCTCCCTCAGCACCGGATCCACCCTCCAGTCACGCAAGAACAAAGCCAAGAAGCACACTGCCTCAACCAAGGCAAGCCCAAGACAAGCGCGCGGGCCGAGCCCGAGGAGGACATACGCCAACCGACGAAATCGACGACGAGCCGCACGCCGGGGCCGATGGCGAGATCGCCCCCGCCATCCTCCTCCGGCATGGACAGCACGACCGTCTCTATCTGTCCCGCGTAGTGAACGCTGCCGGTGCTAGATGACAAGCAACGCAATTCGTCAATACAGACCGGAATACAACGGCGGAGACGTTTTGACCATGCGCCAGGCTTCCGCGAAATACGCCAGGACCCCGTCCAACCTGTTATAATCGTCTAGGGTCTACAGAAGGTCGAGATTCAAGGCAGGAAGCTGACAAGGAGAGCGGATTACTGACCGGGTCGCGATCTGGGCCGAGCACGTCCATAATGTGCTTGCCAGCTTTGTCTTGCTCGTCTTGGGAAACCGATAGCAGCGCCAAGCGTAGCTTCCAGGGCGTGTGCGTTCGTCTCCTTGATACAAAGACAGTCAGCCTTGCCGACACTGTGGCAGGAACGAGTATCCTCACCATTTCCGAACTAAAGGTGTTCGCGTGTTAGTATGGACAATGAGACACCATGACATAGCGAGACGGGACTGACCAGCTCCTGGTCACTCAGCCCATTTTTCCCCTCCGCCTCGCTCGCCGCCATCAAGCGCATGAGTAAATCCTGCTTCGGCTTCTGGTACCCCGCGAGCGCTCCCAGCTCCGCCTTCTTAGTTGCTATGAACGACCGCACGAACGCCTCCTCAATACTTCGAAGTCTACAAAGCCATTAGTAAGACTCCGTTAGCAAGACCACGACAAACCCGCACAACACGACAGGCTCACTTATTGAGTGGGAGGGACAAGACCCACCGGGGAGTGGCAAGCCTGATGACAGAGGCGGCGCAGACAGTGGATCATTGCTTGTGGAATGACTTTTCTCCATCACTTCCGCCGCCTTCTGAGGAAGAAGGGTCTGACCATGGGAACGGGAGGCCGAACCCGCAGCGGGATATAATTCCCAGAGCAAACTTTGAAATGTCACAATTATCATGCACCAACGATGGAATGAGGGACACGGCAGCACATACCTTCCCGGTTACATGGTCGATGGCGCGAACGTCTGTACTTGGTCTTGGCCCATTGTTCGCCTTCGACCATCTCGTGGTAACTTTGCAGGTCTCTTCCACGACCAGGGCATATCTTCCAATCACATGATATTTAAGACACGAAGAGATGAGAAGAGATGAAAGAATCTAGATATGTGAAAGCAACTGACGTGGATCCCGTGAACGCGGGTCCTGCAATCCTCCTGTGGCGTTTGTCAACCTCGTGCTCCGATGACACAATATTACCGCCCCAGAGCGCACTGCAAAAACGTGAGTACATAGTGCGAAAGTGCGTGCACCGTGAGCAGAAGCCCACCTCAGCACGGCGTTCGTCTCGTATGGTTTGCACACCTCCGGCTTCCCGCTCAGGATCTGCTTTGCGACATGCAGAGACGAGGTGTACGTGCGTCGGCCCCGAGACGAGCGAGATGCAAAAGATCGTTTGCGATTTGTAGTACTTGTAGTCTGCGAGCGCCGCATTTTTAGTACCTAGATGTCCGATAGAGCTGTCATATAATACTACTCACTGGTATACCTCCACTTCCAGTGCCAATCGATTCTTGGGTCCCAAAAGGTCTTAGGGAGGAGCCCGCCAAGCGCACACGTAGGCGCAACGACCGATATCATGCCCGGAAGGTAGGATACATTCTGTGTATGTTGGGGGAGATCAGACAAGTAAATCTCGCATTCAGAGTTATTCTGGCTTACCTTTCGCGCTGAGATGCATCTCAAGGAGCACCAGGTCACCGAGACCACCAGGCCGGCCGAGAGCAACGGCGTCCACATCCGAGGTTACAGTGCTAGCTCTGTCCGTACCCGCAGAATCTCGGAGAAGGTTTTAGAGAAAATTCGAGGTGGGCTTGAAACCGACCAAGGACAAAGAATGCACTGCGAGCGTCGGTGCTGGCATCTGAGATGGCGGAGGGCTTGGCTAAAGGCCTATAAGGGAAGTGTTTTCAAGATGGCAGGATGGCGACACGAGAAGCACTGGCGGCTGTGCTCCCCACGTGGAGAGCGCAGCATCCTTCGACCGTAGAGTCGACTTGCAGTCAAAACGGTTACATTGTCATTGAGAACAGCGCGCCACATTGGGTGATCGCACGGTGTCGATCTTCCCAAAAAATCGGTGATAGAAAGACATGGATCAATAGCACGCAAGTACCCCGCAGGTGCACACCTTAGACTCAGAGCGCTGTTAGCGGTTCTGACTTCTGTCAAATCACTGTTATATGGAGGTTGATAAAGCGAACGACTCCCGAGCGGACAGTAAACTCACCATGATCTAGGACTTAGCCAAAGAGACCCTTACTGGCCGCTGAATAGGGTGCCTGTGCAGACCAACTTGATCGCCAGATGAAACAATTTCTTTGCGCGTTAGGCTCGTAAACAACTCTAGTGAATCAGCTCTGGTTGCTGAAGGTGCTCTCGCTCTACTCCGGTTCACTGCCCATCCAGATAAAAGAATGCGTCAGCCCGGCTTCGGTGGAGCCCTGGAAGTGTTAGAGACAGACCCACATGGCTTCATAGCGTTCCACGGCACCTGTGCCTCCGTCATTGACAGGTGACCACAGGAAAACTCTTTGAACGTCGGACAACGCCTCCCTCCGCCCTCAAGCATAGTTTATCAGCCCAACTTCCAGACCGATTCCGTGGCGTCAGGAACCAGGTACAATAGCCAGGAACGCCTGTGCTGAATGCCTGGTGTTACTTCAAATGACCTGTGTACAGATTATAAAGTCCCCCGCGCAAGTGCCGACATGAGGACAGCATTGATCATCGCCCACACTCTACTCCGCTATGCAGACCGAAGAAGTCCCGATCTCATTCCTCGTCCGGTTTGAGCCGGGTGTCATTCCCCCCCAGAAAATACGATGGGAGCAGATGCACATACCGTCATGGGAGTTGATCTTCCGAGGCAAGTCTCTTGCATCTTAGACTAGGGCGCACAGCGTCGGTAGTGACGGCTTCATACCCTCAGGGAAAAAGGAGTTCATCGCGAACGATGTCTACCCTAAGCTCACCCACCCCGCGCTAGTCACAGAGAGGCTCGAGACCGACGTAGGCTTCATCCATAGTAATAAATATGTTCACTGCTGCTTGCTGACCCTCCATGCCCTAAGCCCGCGGTCTTGCTGATATCAACTGGCGTGCGGCACATTTCCGAGGCCTTCGACTTCCAAGCTCCCATCAACGCATGGGTACCAGTAACAACCAAGCTCGTCCCGAGCCCCACTTCCACTGGCACAACAGCGAAGGCCGTCTACGGCCTGCTCGTGCGAATCCTCGAGCAAGGCGAGAAACCCGAGTTCCGGCAAGACGGGACCTTCGTGACCCTCGACCCCGCCCAGATAGTAGATCCCCAGATGCACGGGCCACAGACGATGCAGTCCTTCCTGAATGACGGCATGAAGCAGGAAATTGCGCTCCGATTCCCCTCCCGGGACGGTAAGAGCCTCCAGCTGGAACACTATTTCGAATGCCGCTTCGCTGGAAGACTTTTCCTCGAATGCGCCAGCCGCTGCGCGAACGACTTCCGGGACGGCCTCTTCCTCCTCGACCGGTTGCTCAACAACCAGAGGAACCTCGCGTGGACGTCGGTGAGTCTCAACGCACTGAAAAAGAAATACTTTTCAGGTCAGACCATAAGTGACCCCGGACCGCGTTAGCAATACTCACTTGGACTGCAGGAGATACCATCCATTACAACGACGATGTCGATATCATGAGAGAATATATGTGCGCCGCGTCAAAGCGGTTTAAGGCCCTGGTCCTGGAATTAGCGACGCATTGCATCTTCAAGTACGAGCAGGACTCGGTTGTTCTGCTGATGTTGAAAGTTATATGGCAAACGCCTTTCTGCACTGGAGATTGGGGCAAATTCCTGAAACGTAGGACAGACGGAACGGTAGAGAAATGGACCATTGGGATGTGAGAGTACATACGTGAAATGTTATGGGCGCTGTCAATCATAAAGGCCATTACTGCACCTTTTGTCTACATCCTCAGTCGTGTGTACTCTCGGGCCTGCATATACAGCTAGGGTCACACCACCCGACACTCGTAACGGCCTTACAAGCCGCCCTATGCCTCTGCCAATCCGCTCGCTGACACTGCGGCCTATCCCATCACCCATATTCACTATAACCTCAAATAAGAAACCACCAAACTTACTCACCCGCAATACCTGGTGAGCTTACACCCTGCACACCGCCTCAGGTTCATCGCGGTGGTCATCTCCGCCTTGCAATAGCAGCAGCTCGCAGCGAGCGGGAACCGGCCCTTAGGCGGGGGTCCCGGGCGCACGCGGAACGGGTTGGCTGGGGGCCGTGTGTGGCCGGAGGCGACAGTCATCATGCGGCTGGTCATCTCCAACCCCAGCTTACACGGGGGGTTCTCCTGGTTGCACATGAAACGGATCTGTGCGAGGTAGAGTTAGGTTTCTGCATCAATTCGCAGGCGCGGAACCACGCACGTAGACGGTCATCTTGGGAGGGTCGAGGTGGGGATACGACATCGAGTAACAGTTGGTTTCCCTTGCTGGGAGACCTAGCGCATATATGTTGCAAAGTCAGTACCCATCCCGGAACAAAAAGGACGTACAGTACACGCACCACAGAACTGGCAATTCCAGTTATTGCTGTGTTTGACGTCCATCGACGCGGCGTGGGCGAACTCGTGGATCCACCTGTTCAGCGCGTCCTTGTCCTCGAGCAAGTCCCGGGACGGGAGTTGTGGACACATTTCTATTTCCGAATGGCCCTCGCTGCCACAATCGTTGCGGCAGGCATGCAGAAGATATGCAGGTCACTTACTGTCCATATGCCACAATCGTGACCTGTGCGTGAGGCAAAATAGATTTTGCAGTCTGTGGGAGGCTCATGTTGGGCAATGTGGATAAGAGGGAGAGACGAGTAACCTGCACTTTGAGGAGCGCGACTTTATAGCGAACGCTGCGTGGCGGAGTGGCTTCGTCTTTGCTTTTTGTCGTGTCGCGTATCGTCATCGCCAGGAATGGTAATACCATGCCCGCTTTGGACCATCTCTCACCGGTCGCCGCAAATAACCATCTTGCAATTGAACAAAACAGAGTCGAGTGAACAGAATGCTCGTGGAATCATCACGAAAATTCTGTCACTGAGCTCCGCTTCGTGTCATGGAGTCACCGGGGCTTATCGAGTTTACAGCGCTTAACATGATAGAAAACCAACAACAACACACTGTAACGATACAGCAACAACAGAGCACACGGCACATACAACGAAAGTTGTTGATCAATTATTCTGCGGGAGCTCTGGCAGCCTCCTTTTCGCCGCGGAGTATCTTCTCGACGTTCGACCCAATCTTGCGGCGCTCCTCTAACGATAGCTTCGGCGCAGTCGACGAATACCCTAGTTCTACGGTCAATGGGTTAGTGAGAGCGGGAGTGATACGGCGGGAGTGAAGCTTACTGAGACTGGCGTACTGCAGAGGGACTTCCTCGCTTTTCACGGGGAGCTTAGATAAGTCGAGCGGGTAAGAGGGGCCGATCCAGGTCTTGCGGGTGTCATGATCCCTTCAAACAGATATCAGACACGATGTGTCCGGATCAATCATTGGCCACCTACTTTCTCTGTGCCGCGAAAGAGACCAAGACATATGAGCAACCAAGAAATTGACCCTGAGTGTTACCAGCGTACCTCCTCCCGAGTCAGCGGATGAACGAGAATACTGGGACAAGTCTAAGCATTCCTACGGCCAACGAAGAAGACTCGGCTCACCTGAGCTCCCCGCGGTTTATACACAGGTACGAGAACACGCTCGAGAATGACTCAGCCGGACACCAAATCTCGTATGATCCTACGCAGCTCATTGCTACTTCCCGTGCCTCATCTCGCCACTGCGCAGCTTACCAACAGGATGCGGGCCCATGGGCTCCATGTTCACCCTCCACAGAGGCACCGCGACGAACGCGCCGTCCCTTCGCAGTCTCAGAACCGCATCGCGAAGCTCGAGCGCAGCCGCGTGCTCCTCAGCGTTATGCTGGTGGAAGTAGATGTCTTTCGCATATCTGTGCTCAGCCGGATTTCGGGTGCACAGGCAAATCGATCCCTACGGAAGTGCCATTCCCTGTCCCCGCCGTTTAGTGGTCGTTCGAAGCAGACGAAGACTGAGTGCCTACTTCACCTCTGACTCAAGAACAGTCTCTAGGTCCATTTCAGGGCTCATATCGATGTTTGATGAGGCGAGAGGTGACGGTTCGTACTGGATGGTTCAAGTCGCTAGGAGCGTGCTGGAGCGTGACCATTCGCGAACAACGGTCACTGCTCGTCACAGTTTGTGGCTTGGAACCCTTTTGCTCGGTTTCGTCAACGTCTGTTGTTTCGTCCGTCTCCGTTTGTTGCTGCAGATGCCACCAGAGCTGTTGCTTCGCCTTGGGACTGTGCTCAGAGGGAAGTTTGCTCTTCATCGCTGTGGACGATGGTCTGCGAGCGATGTCCCGCGATCTCCTCTCTGCGCACAATACCGACCCCAATCTACAAGAAGATTTTAGTTGAAATCCACGCGGTTCATAACTGGCCTCTGTGCCTGTACGCGACAATATACTGCGGCATTACTGCAACCGGTAAGTCACGTCGTCTTCCGTTCGTATCGCAGAGTCCGGGCAATTTAAACCGATGTGCAGAATACTCATCTATTATCTAGTGTCGGTCCAGGGATGGGTCGTGCAGAAGAATAGACGTTGCTGGGATGCCACGATTCTACACGACTCCGACCGGCAGATAGATCTCCAACGCATGCCGGTTTCATACATGTGCAGCAAAAAGGTACCGTCGTCGTATTGAGCTACTACATACATCATGACGCGAACAAACCTACCCCTCCTGATCACTGGGCACGCCGTTTGAGGTACATCCTATGGACCCAAGGTGAATACGAGGACATCGTGCTGGAACGTAGACGATCTACTCACGGGATATGCAAAGCAGGGCTACAGTAGTACTTGAACCAGATGTCCCGAGGCCGCGTCCCGTCTCCGCCCATCTTGACGTCGTAGTTCAATAGGATGTGCGCGAGGACGCCTTTCATGATGCACGAGGCTACGAACCGGCCAGGCTGTTTGTCGGTCTCGTCAATAAACGTCGCCAGTAGAAAAGTGAAGGTGGGACTCACGCTGGGGATAATATGATCAAGTTTCGCAGACGCAGCCAAGATCAAGTTAAGTTTCTCAAAACTTGATGAAGAGGAAGGTCAACGTACCAGACATGCTTCCCGTGCCCAAATGGCTGGTAATACGGACTGGTGCGGATAACTTCGTTGACTCTCCCTTGTCCTGACGAACTACTCTCCTTATAGAACCTCAACCCATCAAAGGACGTCGCCCCGGGGTAATGCTGCTCATCGAAATGGTTCGACCAGGTCGTCGCCACGTAAGTGCCCCGCGGTATGTACGTCCCATCGGAGAAGCTGAACGGCTCACGCGCCCTTCTCGGTAAGCTCGCTTTTAATGAAGTTAGTGTCGACGGACGTGGTTTAGGGTGTCTCTCAGCGCTCACTTGACCCGATGACGTTGAATCGCATCGACTCCCTGAAGAAGCTGTCGAGCTTCGGCAGCTGGTCGATCGCGTTCTTTCCCCACCCATGGAGTTGTACGGCCTCTTCGACTTCTGCACGCAGGAGCGGCACGTATTCCGGGCGAAGGGCCAAGGTTACTAGAGCGTTGATGCACGTCTGCGCCAACGAGAATCAGACTGATGCGCTCTGTGCGTTCTCGGAATAAGGGACTATAAGCATACCAAGGAGAGCGAGTGGAAGGCAGCTGCGTTGATTGCCATTATCCTTCGTGCTAGGGCGTCAAGTGTCTGCTCCTCTGGAGGGGCAGCTCCAATGAACTCCGCGAGTACGTCCTACGCTCCTATGAGACATCGAGCACGATCCTTCTGAACGTCTTTCACGTACGTTCATGACAGTCGAATCTTTCTCCTTTTCTGCCGTGTGCGCTCTCCTCTCTTGTATCTCCGGCTCGAGGAATTCGAGCAAAGCCCGTGTTTTCGCCTCAAGATTGGTCAGTAGCCAGCCGCCGATTCTGTTATGCCTTGAGGAACTTGACTATGCAGATAGGATTGATTCCACTTACGGCCTGATTATTTCGGGGAACATGTGTATGAGGGAGGCCCTGATAACGATATCCGGACCGGAGTTCAGTGCAACGTTGATGTAATCCTGGTTCCGACCTGCATTAAGTCTGCATCAGCCCGGCCAATCTCTTCCTGTGGTGGCAACTCGTCTGCTCACAGAGAGGCTCCCCTACCACAAACCGACTCGACGTCCGCGCCACGACATTCGTAAGTGATTTTACGATGTCCAGCTCTCTCCACGATTCTGGGAGCGTTGACGTTAGCGAGATGTTATTCACGGTTTGGCCGGAGAGTTACTCGCCGTCGGTGCCCTTGCCTATCACTTCTTCGAAAGCGAAGAGTAGTTCATCCAGGCAGGCTCCAGCGAGGCGGTCATTGTTACGAGGGAGCTGTCAAAGTGAGTCAAGCTCGTCCGACCGAGGTCCCGTTGTGATTGCAACTCGCCTTGCTTCGGAGAAGGGGTACGTGGTATGGATTGGTGTAGATGGTCTCACCCATCAGATATCTAGTTTGATTTTCCTACGTTTCGGTGAGTACGCCACCTCTGTATGTATACCGGCAGCAATGTGCACCTCGTAGTTGGAGTCTCGCTCAGACAGGATTTCTTCAGGCATCTGATACAGCTCGTTAACTGTGATAGGTCAGCACACCGGCATACGACCTCTCTCAACCCAACGCACTTAGCTGATCGCTGTCGACTAGGATGAGCCAATCTGTCCATCGAGGTATCTTGAAGATTCCTCGCTCCCTATACTGTTCCTGCTTCAGCTGATATGGACATGCCCCCCCCCCCCCTCTTAGATCGCAATACCTTCTGATGACCCTCCTGTATCATCTTCTGTGAGGCAAAGTAAAACCTGAAAGCCCCGTAGTAAGGTCCAAGCCATTTGGGATATCCGGCCGGTGGTATGCCTCTCTATAGGGCGAGTAAATGGGAGCTTCCCAAGCGCCAGTGGTTACGTACCTCTGCAAGCAGTATGGAACACATATGCAGGACCAAAAAACAAGGCACGATAAACCATGCGACGCTGGATCCGTCCCCAGGCCATGTAATCCCCGCTTTGTCGATGTCGGTCATTGTGCTTCGGAAGTCGGGCATGGACACAGAATGCAAACAAATGGCTTTAAGGAAGGTCGCACACTGTCTTGATTGGGCTGACGTGGCGCTCATGGAGGTTAAGATTATCTGACATAGCGCGGTGGTTCGGACTCATCAACGCTCTCTGTGTTGAGCAACACCCTTGTGGGCGTCCGCAAGCGACCTTAATGCAGGGGACCAACCGCGGGACGAGGTTAAAATGTGCTTACGTAACTCATTCACCCAGGCTTGTCAATTAATGCTGCACAAAGTGACCGGAGTTGAACACAGCATGTGCTTTCACTTCAAAAATGGTTACAATGCTTGCGATAAGCACAACCGAGCCTCCGTTCAGCATGCACCGAGGGCAAATTGTCGTCGAAATCAAGGTAAGCGCAAAGACTGTAACTCAGCGATAGGACTATGTCCATCGAACCCAGCTAGCAGCTTATGAACCCACGAGGGATACTTGATTCAGGTACGCCGCTTAAAGTACATCCTGCAAGGCGATCTCTGAGCTCGTGAGATCCGGTACTTCTCTGAACAGACTCACGGAATGTGCATAGCAGGGCTGCAGAAAAACTTAAACCAGATGTCCCCAGGACGCGTCCCGTCTCCGCCCATCTTAACGTCGTAATTCAACAGGATATGCGCCAGGATGCCTTTCAGGATGTACGACGCGATAAAGCGGCCAGGCTGCATTGCCAGTGGATCCCGTTCATGAATGACGCAACCCAAACGGAATCAAGACAATATTGCACTTACGCTGTGGGTGCGATTGCAGGTGCGAGTACGACATTAGTACTCTTACTAGAGGGGACTGGGACGTACCATGCGTGTTTCCCGTGCCCGAACGTCTGGTAATACGGACTTGTGCGGATCACATCGTTTACCTTTCCCTGTCCCGAGGAATTCGTCTCTTTATAGTATCTCAGGCCATCAAATGACGTCGCTGAAGGATAATGTCGCTCATCAAAATGGTTTGACCACGCCGCAGCGACATATGAACCTCTCGGTATACGCGTCCCGTCGGAGAAGCTGAAGGATACTCGCGCCTTCCTGGGGAGGCTTGCTTCATGGCGTGCAGATCTATCAGCGGTGACCATAAGCAACGGACAGAACTTGATACGCACTTGACCCGAGGACGTTGAACCGCATCGACTCCTTGAGGAAGCTGTCCAATTTGGGTAGCTGGTCCATGGCATTCTTGCCCCATCCGTGGGTTTGGATGGCGTCCTCCACCTCGGCTCGAAGGAGAGGGACATATTCCGGTCGTGTGGCTAGCGTTACCAGGGCGTTGAGGCACGTCTGCAAAGGGAAGTACAGTCATCATGAAAGCCCTTCCGTCCGCCGAACGCGATGACCGTACCAAAGATAACGAATGGAAGGCAGCGGCATTTGCTGCCATCACTCGTCGTGCTATGGCCTCCGGTGCCTGCTCCTCGGGCGGGGCTACTTGCATAAGTTCCGAGAGTACGTCCTGCTTTCACGTTGAGAATGCGACTGGAGTCATAACACCGCTGCACGAACGTGTCTAGTGCTCAGGTCTTTCTTGGTTTCTGCTGCGAGTGCTTTCCTCTCTTCTATTGCGGGCCCCAAGAAGTTGACCAGGGCCCGTGTTTTCGCGGGTAGGTTAGTGAGGAGACGACCAGAGATTCTGGTAGGTCTTTAGCGCACTCTGTGGTTCGTAGTGCAAATGGAAGGACCTACGGTCTAAATATTGAGGGGAATAGGTTAATGAAGAAAGCCTTGATAACGATGTCCGGTCCGGATTGCAGGGCTACACTGATGTAGCTTTCGTCGCGACCTTGCAGTGGCTGTGTCAATCAGGATTACAACGTTCGACCCAATTTCCTCTGCTCACAAAGAGGTTCTCCGACGATAAATCGGCTAGATGTTCGTGCTACAACATTCGTCAGCGGCTTCACAATGTCTATGTTCCTCCATGATTCTGGGAACGACCATGTGAGTTAGCCATTTATGCGGGATTCGTCCTGCATTTACCGTCCGTGCCCCTTCCTATAACCTCTTCGAACGCATAGGGGATCTCGTCCAGGCATTCCGCTCCGAGGAGGTCATTGTGACGAGGGAGCTGTTAACCTGTGTTAGGCACGGCGAATCGAGATAGGACACCGGTGGCGCACCTTGCTCCGGAGAAGGGGGACATGGTATGGATTGGTATAAATGGTCTCACCCATCGTATACTTGGTTTGGTTTTCCTTTGCCGTCACTAAGGTGAGCGCCGATGAACCGTGTATGGTTTCACTAATCAGGTATACCTCGCTGTTAGAATCCCGCTCTGACAATATCTCCTCTGGCATCTGATACAATTCTCCAACTGAGTCGCGTAGTGGGTCAATAGACCGCCACCCTGCATTTTTCCCAATCCAACTCACCTAGCTGGTCGCTATCGACTATTATAAGCCAACTCGTCCACCTGGGCACCTTGAAAATCCCACTTTCCGCGTACTATTCGCCATTAATACACTGGGATGTCTCTTTCCTAAAAGAACCTACCTTTCTATGACCCTCCTGTATCATCTTCTGCGACGCAAAATAAAATCGGACGGCCCCGTAGCACGGTCCCATCCATTTGGGATATCCAGCGGGGGGGATACCTCTCTGGAGTAAAATTAGTCGATATTCCCGAACGATTGGCGGGTGCGTACCTCTGCGATGATTATAGAAAATACGTGCAAAATAAGAAAGAGCAAGAGTACAACATATCCAACACTGATCCCATCTCTTGGCAGTTCGCCCACGCCGGTCCTGTCGACAAGGTCAACGACAGCTCTCAGCAAGACGGACATGGAGCCAGCAAATGTGTTGAGATAGCAAAAAGGGCGCCTGACACAGGTTCACTCCCTGTTCCCCTGCGTACTTTTTCGATATAAATGAAGGCGCATACTACTGCGGTAGCGGTTGACGTTTGGGCACAAGGACGGTGATACTCCTTGGTGTAGCGTGCTAATTTAGAAACTCGTCATCCCGTCCTCTCCAAGAGCATGTATGATATTTGTGCGGCGTCCGCTGACTACCTTAATGAAGGGATCCAATCGGGAGTAACCCTGACCGCGCTTCCATAACCAATGACAGAGTAAGATACGTGCTTCGTGATCTCCGGCGTATCATTTAGTATTGCGGACGGATGAGTACTAGGCTGTGTGGCGCGCTGCAAGCATCCCCGACTCCCACGGTAGTTGGGAGGAGGGTTCTGTCGGGAAGAAATGGTCGCTCCACCATACTCGCTCTCGCCGTGAGAACCTCATGTAAGCAACGTCCCGACCGGACCGACGCCACTTTCGTTTCGACTTGAAGACAACTGCCCACACACACCTGACGTGAAAGGTCAAAGTGATGCAGTGCGTAGCATTCGATAAAAGGATGCATTGACAAAAGTGAGGCTGACAAATGAGACTAGTATCTCTGAGCGGGGACTGGGAGGAAGCCCCTTTAAATACTGATGTAGATATAAGACAGGACTATATCAATACTGTGTATGTGTCCGTACGCGTCAAGACTGGCATTCCGCAACTTGACCAGACACTAGTACTGGAATACTTGATGGTTTCTGACTGGAGTCGGGGATTGGCGCTTGCGCCACTACGATTGGTAGGACAAATACATTTGTGCAATATCAAGACGCGTAACCATAATACAGCTATCTTACAATTAAGATCACTCCTCATAAACTTGAAGCCACGTCACCACTAGACCACGACACCATCACATCCCCGTGCTGTGCATGCTATGGTGGCTATTTGCCCATTGTAAATCCTTCCGGAGTCATGGTCTTTCCAATATAGGTCGCCATTCATCGGCCTTTGCTTGGAAGGCGACATAGAGAGCCGTTTGCATGAGGAGAAAGAGGCCCGAAGATTGTTTTGGAGGCTGTCGCAGAGCTACAGATGCATATTCAATAAACGAATGAGCAAGTAGTCACGTATACCCTCTGATACCTACAGGTATCCGCACTGATATACGAGTCCATGGCTTATCCTCGAGAAGCAAGTCAGGACCCTCCCTTTATGAGCGCATAAAACACGCACCGCTCGTTATGCTATGGACACAGGTTGATGGTGAGTTGGAATGCGAGTTGCTTGTGTATTAGCAAATGAAATGCGGATTGGCAATGTTATATACGCACCAAGGAAGGTTTTGGAGAACCTCGGGCTTCTGTACGCGCTGAGGCGACCGAGCAATCGACGACCGCAGGATACGTCACTAGCAGAGATGACTTAAAGCGAAAGCGCATGTCCAATCGACAGCAGGATGCCTGAGGGTTTCACGGAGTACGACACGAACCTGCGCCACAGGATTTTGGCAGTGTAAATTGAGTACACGTGTGTGTCGATTGATAGGTCGGAAGCTTGACAGATCCTCAACGTTCCAGCATACTCGACATGGTACAAGCAAAAGCCTGCACAAAGGCCGAAAACAAGATTAGACTATGTGACGGCCGCATACTCGGCCAGACCTCCTAAAGCCAGGAGTGGCCGAACGACAGATACGCTTGGAAATATCCCACGGAGCAGGATTGCATCCACTGGTATTCCCGACTTCGCTTGCATCCCCGAAACACGACTAGTCACTGTTGGCCAGCACGGCCATACCTGGGCACATATGGTTACTTAGGGGCCTGATGTCTCATACGACAGAGTCCCCCCTAAAGGGTCATCTCACCGTCAGCTGACCTCGGTCTAGAGATTACCTGATAGCTGCACTGGTATGTTAAGTTGCTATTGGCAAAAATGGTGAACAAAGCAGTGGGCGCTCATCGCTCAACACTAGACTCGATAGCGCACGGTATCTTCGACCGACGTGCCCATGTGGAGCGTTGGTCCTAACATTGCAGTATCATAGATCATCCCTGACGTCTCTCAAAAGTAGTCAGTTTGCCTTGGGTATAACTTGGAGCAAGAGCTTAACCTTGGTGCTGATAAACTCGCAGGATGGCGCTTCAATGTTTGTGCTCGTTATAATTAGTCTTGAGAGAATTATGACAACTTCGAACAAGTGAGAAATAACTCTTTCTGACCTACTGCGAGACGTCAGCCTTTCAATGTCGACAGCACTGAACACAGAGGGAGCTCTTAAGTTTGTTCTAAGTCGCGAGCGACTTGAAGCCGTCCTGCGATACGAGTGTCACCGGAACTAACCGGAAAGCTCCGGCGATGGGTATCGATGAGTCCCAGTGTCAGTGGCTGAGGATTCCAAATTCCCTACTTCCGTATCCGACGATTATACTATCATTATAGAACTCCACGGACTGTTTATCTTGTCTACTGGTGTTCGTCAGCATCAGATCCGAGTAACATGGCACGGGTAGCACGGATTTGGCCCGATACCTCCTAGCTTGTGTGTTCAGCACGTTCTGCGGTTACTTGTTCAGGTATGATCAGTTCCCATTGATCTTGTGAACGCTGACTGACGCCCGACTTTGGGCGGGTTTGACACTGCAGACGGCATACGACATTGAAGCTGTCGAGTTACTGAATATCTCTTTAACAGGGGGGAAATGTCCAAGAAGCATAGATGATGCTGCATTACCTCGCTATATCCTCGTAGGGAGAGCATGTCGGCAAAGTCAGCGGTCTCATGGCATACCCACCTCTACCAGTTCCCCGTCCCACACCACCTGAAACAACAGGAAGTGGCGGCATCAACTAAACTACCGGTCTTGATTTAGCTGTCTCTCGCGATTGGCTGAGACATCTAGTAAAGCACATCGACTCCACTCGCTGTCTCGGGTGCGCCATATAGAATTATACTTGGGAGAAGAATGCGCTTGCCGACTACCGGTCGCTTCGACGAGCTCTGGTTTGTCATCGTTATGGAACGATCTCCCTAGCGCGAAGCCAATTGGACACTAGTAGCCCGGAAAGATCATTTGCCGTATGTCCATGTCGCCATTCACAGCTGCAATGATGGCGTCAATGGGCATGACTGCTGCTCTTATGTCCTGGTATGTCCGGGTTCAGAGATACTAATCACGAACGCATGTCCTAATAGAGAGTACAATCTACGCAGGTCCCCCACGCATGGGTAGTACCTCGAGTCGAAAGTGACGAACTACGGACCCATACACTTCGACAAAAGGAAGTCGGAGGGCGACGGTGGCGGATCCGGCACGGCTGCCGGAGACGCCCCAGATCCGCGATATACTACTCACTGGACGCGGTCCACTGGGATCATATTGGATGGTAGCTTCTATTCTACTCTACTCTGCGTCATGCGTCACTGATGTTAATGTTCAAGAGCTACAGCGCTTCGAATCAGGTATTATGGTCGCTGCAACAGTTTCTCGGATTTTCCAGTGGCGTGGAACCGAGAGAGTTCACCTATCCTATATGGTATATCCACAAGCCTACATGCGCCCACAACCTTTAACCAGCCAGACGCTAATTGCACCCGGTTCGCCAGGGAGAGCGTAGTATAAAGGCTTTGAATGATTCGTGCGCTTGAGGATATTCTTCCAACTCCGATCCTGTCACATCCTGCAACTGGACGAACTATGTGGGCATCGTTTGTCCTACTCGCTCTCCTGATTTGTGTCGCGTCTCGGATATCCAAGTTCCTCGATGGCTTGAAGGTAGGTTACATATCGAGCCTCCGTCATTACTCGTTCAACTCGCAACCTAATGACACCTAGAAAGTTGGGTATCTTCCGGGATTCCGATGCGCATTTGCATCAATGTCTTTCCCCGGGTCCATGCTGCCCACGAACTACTTCAATCCAGGTTTTGACTGGTGTTGGAAGTGGAAGCATAGTAAGAGAATTCATTTGTTGCCTCTCAATTAATTAGAGGAACTCATCGTACCGCAAATACTAGGCTATGACTATTACGGGTCCCAGGTTATTTCCTGTGTCCCATTCCTCTCTGGTCGCCCAGTCGTCTACACCCGCTCGATAGACGTCGCGAAGCAGATCCTGTGCAGTCCTCAAGGCTACTGGAAAGATCCTGAGCATGTTGCACCCCTCACGTATGTCCAACTATGTTCAAGCGCATCCGATCTCTCACCGTCACCTCCAGGATCTGGGGCGACAGTCTTCTTACCGTGAATCACGATGTGCATAGGAAGCATCGAAGGATTGTCGGTCCCGCGTTTAACGGCTCAAGGCAGGCTCTTTTAAGGCTCTCTATGTCGGATGTGACTAACCCCTAAATCATAGTTACACTCTGGTTGCGCAAGAAACTTCACGCCTTTATGCGGATATGATGGAAAGCGAAGGCTGGTGCAAACAAGCAACAGTGAATCTGGAACCGATAAATCCTCACCTTGGCAAGGTGAGCAAGTCCAGGGTGACAGTAAAGTGTCGATTCCAACCTTTTCTGCATCAGTTCACCCTAGGCGTAATATCTCGATGCGGATTCGGACTTCCATTCCCTTGGACTAGCGATACTGCTGAGGGCATGTCTTTCGACCGTGCCTTGACAGTTGTATCCGCCGGGACTATCCTACGACTGATTGTTCCCCGCTGGGCATACAAGTTGCCGATCAAGAGGTCCTTTATTCCCTCAATCTGCTGATCGTGAAACTTACCGGTACATTGAAGGCTCCACGAGATCGACGAGGCTTTCACCAACTTGGCGGCTTTCATGCGGACTTTCGTCTCAGATAAGAAGGCCGAGCTCGCGACGAAAGGCGACGGAACCGGTGGCCTGAAGGGTGACCTATTCACCCGATTAGTTGCGGCTAGCGAGGCCGAAGGGAAGAATGGGCTAGAGGATCAGGAGCTCGTGCGTCTTTCATGACTGTCAGTTTCCGAGGCTGATTGGCAGGTGACAGATCGGGAATGTCTTCACTTTCATGTTCGCTGGTCACGGTGAGGGGGTATTATGTAGTGGTAACCCGCCTGTCGCTAATGAAGATCCAGAGACAACTGCGCACGTCCTGCAAGCGTGTCTTGCCATGCTGGCTCTTCAGCCAGAGGAGCAGGAAGTATGCTATGAGAATATTACCCGGGTACTGGGGGAAAGCCGAGACCCGGTGAGTAGTTCGTTATCCGTATGCACCCAGAGTTCTCATACCAATCAACTAGACTCTGGAGGATTTCGATGCGTTGGATAAAGTAGTCGCATGCTTCCAAGAAGCCGCACGGATGTTCCGTACGTGATTATCATTCTTGGATTGCGATACGCCGGATAAACATAGACTTTGACGTCTCAGCTGGTGCATCCGTAGCATCAAGAGATACAGAGGATACCGTCTCTTTGACTCTTCCTCCAGAAGAAGGTGGGAGGATAGTCGTGCTGGAGCCTGGTGTGAGAATAGTCTGTGACATAGTGGGCATCAGTAAGCGCCACGATCGCTTTTCCCCGGCCTCTCCGCTAATATCTCTGCGCGCAGATTATAACCCACGTATCTTCCCTGAGCCGGAGCGTTTCTACCCAGCTCGTTGGTACGGCGCACGCGAAACGGATTTGACGTACTTTGGGTGGGGACCTCGCCAGTGCCCGGGCCGTAAATTTGCCATGGTTGAAGCTGTGTGTTTCCTCTCTCTCCTGCTTCGCGATTGGACGGTAGAGCCCATTATGAAAGATGGTGAGAGTAAAACACAGTGGAGAGAGCGGATTCTGCAGATGACACTTGTTGGCCTCGCGTTCGGCGTCCGCGATGTGCCTCTTCGACTGAGACGGAGAGGCACGGCAGAGTGGTAAAGCTGAACTGTTCTGACCCCTTGACTACGCATTCAAACCTATTGCATGTATCAATAAATAGATTCTGCCGGCTTTCTCTGTACATTGGGCCAAAGACCGAAGTTGCACTGTAAAAAATATAAACTTACCGAACATTGCCGTAGTCCAGAAAAGGAAAGCTAATTACCTTTCTGGGGGAGTGACATGGGGTTGCACCGCTTTCTAGCGATTCATTTGCAAATCATTCAAGACACCAGCGCTGTATACATATTGACATTTTCGCGCCCGGCCTATCCTACACACTTATCAGAAAGGTGGCAACTCCCGTTGTCAAACGCGGCATGGCAAGCACGAACCAAGATATCCCCGCACTTCAGCTCACTATAATCGAATATGGGTGAGTTTCAAGTTTCGCTGAAGTTGGGACACAGAGGCCAATGCTAACGGGGAATGTGTACAGTGAGGGACTTCGTGCTGAAATTGATGCGCGACCCCTGCTACCTTCCAAGGATCTGTTGGGAGACATGCCCGGGATACACGAATGGGCTCAACGGCTCCTGATTGACATGAGCGCCGACCTAAAGCATAGCCAGCCCTGGGCGTGCGCATACTGTGGTAAGAAACCTACTGCCATGCCACTCAGAGCCTATGTCCAATACCTGCGTAATATAGGCCAGCCAGCGAGGGAGACGTGCTACCAAGTCGTGTCCCGGCTGAATCTGAGCCCTCCAAGATTGGATCTATATGTGCGCAGTGTAATTATATCGCATAGTTGAGCGTGGCTTACGCCTCCTGCAGGTATTTCACGTGTGCGATTCTGACAACCCCCCATGCCAAGCTGAGCTCCAAGCAGCTCAGGCGCAGATGGCGCTAAGGTCAGGCCAGCCGCCGCGGGGAGGCGCGACTCAGATCCCTCGCCCTCCTGGTGTGGTTTATCCGCTGGCTAGTAGCTGCGCTTACTGTAAGGAGGATAATACTGCCGACATCCGAGAGAGCACGGTGCTCAACAGGTGCAGCGGTTGCAAACTCACGAGGTGCGCGGAATACTGCACGCACCCCTAGTTGCTAATTTGCGACACGTCTCCCCCTCAGATATTGCGGGTGAGCACAGCTTTGTGAATACGGCTGAGCTTCGTCGACGTTTCTGACTTCCGTGAAATAGGGTGCAGTGTCAGAAGAAAGACTGGCCACGCCACAAGAAAGTGTGCAAGACGATCAAAAATGTCAAATGGGTCTGGTAAATGGGCTGAACTGTGCACTAAACGTGGTAAAGATGGGAGCCCGGACATGATTGTCTCGCTCTTCGAAGTACATCTGCCGAGACGATCACAGAACGTAATGCATATGTTGTCTGGTCCCACTGATTAGTTTCCACCTGGACCACTCCAACGGATCTGCTTCGTGACCTCTCCCCCCGTCTGAAACGTACCACACTCTCCAGTCCGTACGGTCACCGATTGCTACCATTGCTGTCTCCAGTCTGGAAACGGAGCCTCCAGGGCCATCCCCGAGGCGCCTTGTATTAAGGACCGCTGAGATGATCACATCTTTTGGGAACTCCGGGATGATACCCCTCTCCAGGACAACAAGTAGCATCTTCAGTCGCGGAAGGGAAAGCCTCCTCTGTGAGTTTTCCTACGAACGAAGCCGCCGAAGGCGTGCTCGGTAGCTGCGACCGATTCGCAGGTTCCTGGTATAAACAGCTCCTCTACCCATAGTACGACCCTAAGCAAACTATGAAATTCATTCCCGGGATCATCGATCATAATCAAATTATTCCTGCAAATCGTCGCCAACAGCTCTTGCACGCCAATAATCTGGGTCACCTATCGGACGAGAACGAGAGATGGCAGTATCCAACGATGTGGCCCGCTGAAGATACTTGACTGGCCGCGTGAGGCGAATAGCAGTACTGCGCGGGAGGGCACCCCGTACTGGCGGCACGGGGAGGTTGAAAACACGTTAAAACTGGGGTTTGTTCATGACCTCCCTGTCATGAACGTGACACGGGTCCGGCGGCGTCGATCAAAGCCCGATGAATGGCGGAAGATGTTGACGTCTTCGTTGACAGTTGACTTTGGACATTGATGTGTAAATATCGCAGGTGGTGGGACATATGGGATTGGAAGAACTACGTTGAGCTATTGCATTACGAAAGGTGCAGTGCAGCGTGTTCATTTCATTGATGCAAAGAAGAGCTTGCAGGTGATCCAATCAAGGTTCTGAAGCCGTTACAGGTAAGACCAGGGCATTATATTATGATTGAACTATTCTTACTCGTAAAATGTCATCGATCCAGGTCGAATGTCTGAACTAGAATCACAGCATAATGCACTTGAGGCTCAAGCGATTCTGAGCGACGTCGACGACGGTGAGAGGTGCATGTGCGGGTGCAAATATTAATATTTCTAGTCCTCGGCAAGAATGTCCTCGTCTCCACGTCCGGCTGGATGCAAGTGGCGCGGTCAACATCTCACGAATCAGAGTCTTTGCGAAGGGACGTTTGGCCTCTCTCAGTTCTTTCGATAATCTGACACTGAGACATTCGTCTACAGGTGGAGCTGTCGGGCCTGCAACGTATAACGTCTGACATGGCGGAAGTTCCGGATGGAATAAGAGCGCCATGGGTCCGATGATCAAGACGATCATGTTAACTCAGTGTAAGCTTAAAAGCCCAAACGTTCCCTGATGCAATAGCTGAACGTGGTCCTTCCTCTGCTAATGCTCACCATTCGCGATCTTCACTTTCCAAACTCGCAACCTCAACTGTCAATACCTTCTCCCTTCATCGGGTCTTCATAAAAGCCGCGATAAGCGCGTGTCGCATTTCTGAGCTAGACCGATATCCTCGAGACAATAGCTGCATATGACTGGATAAAAGCCACAACCAACCGCACCCCTCATTCCCTCAATCCACCCACTCCCACCACAATATGTCTCAAACCAAAACCATCTCCGAGCTGAAAGGTCACCCCGCTCTCGAGGGTCGCCTGAAACTCCACGCAGCCTGCGAGTCGGGCACCGTCACCGACGACCACTTCCACAAGCTCCTCTCCGGCTCGTCGAGCGCCTCTACCAAAGCGAGCGACCCCAAGGCCATCGTCTCGGTCGACTGGGCGACCTCGATCGCGATGGAAAAGGTCGAGGAGCTGGCCAAGGCCTTCAACGGTAAAATCTCCGGTGCGTAGCGACTGTCCCGGTTCAACGAGACGAACCCTTTTCTCAATCAATGTAGGCCCCGACTCCTGCAAGGGGTTGTTTAGCAACGGTATCCTTTACTACCGCAACCCGTCGATCATCCACGGGGACTGTACCATCTGGGTGCAGCCGTATGGCGAGCTCTTCACCATCGATTTCTATACCCAAGACGATATCCTCGCTGTGGTACGTGCATATATACTATTCTTGCCGTCGCCTTTCGTTGAATGCTCTGCGTTTGATATTGTCTTCGCCAGTTTAAGGGTAAGCGTTTTAAACTGGTATAGTGTTCCGCCGAGCTAATTGTGTCGTCTCAGGGACTCCCCTCGATGGCGTCGGAGCTGTAAGGGGATACGAAGGTACTGGCACCTGGGCTTAAGATGAAATGGCTTCATTAGTATCGGTGATCCATCGGTTCGCTGATGTCTTGCAAGATGATTGTACGAATACACACGCCGTGATGTAACTTTGCGAGAAATTTTAGCGGCGCATGTCTGGCTCTTCTTGGTACTTCACATAACAGTTCGTTTGTGCATCGTTACAACCACTACCTGACCCCGCAATATATGCTCCGCCGCTATCTAACCCTGTACGCCCACACACTTTCTCAAAGGATTTCCATCACGCCACATCGACGGTATAAAATCTTATCTACTTACTATGGCGGAATCACCAAGCCAGTTCAATTTTAAGAGGCATTCGTGGCTAGTTCATCGCAAGTTTCCATCAGCACCCAGTCAACATAACTCTTCTGCCCTCTTGTACGTAGCATCAGAATTTCCCGTAAGTATCGACCCCACTGGCAAGGGTATCCTTTGGTACATGTCCATCCAGTGGCAGTAGTGGTCCATCATTGATATTTCTCCAGCTGCTGCCTATCCCCATGTACTTATGTGTATACCCTGTATACTTAGTTATTTGGTATTTTCCAGCCACCCTGCACTGGAGGCCGCGGTCCGGCTCGGTCCGGTTATTGTCGGTCCTGGGACAGGACCTACTAGTAAGGTCTAGTTAACTCGGGAAGCTCCGTCTGGCACCGGCATCTTACCCCTCCTTTCCGATTCCCCTAGAATCGGTTTACTGTTCAGTCGTTGTATAGGGCACTCTGGTGATCGAAAATTGCCAGCGTTGAACAGGGGGTATACCCCTTATAGCCCAAATTACCTTAACTGTAACGGGAGCACCCTCCTTAAATGGAAGGTCCACCGATCCAAATCTTACCACCATCAGCAAATAGGAGCTATTACCTCTCATGTCAATAATTACCGTTTGTGAATAGGGACTAATTCCAGATATGTAGTGTGGTCTCGATCCTTTCAAGATCTCGGGCCAATGGCACTGTCAGGCATCCCCCGGCTGTGAGTGGAATTGCGCCGATGGCAAGTACCCTGCTGCCTACGGCACAAGATTGGTAAGTTACATACGAGGCATAGTACTGGCAGCATTGAGGCCTCAGCCTGATGACATGCATCTCAGCTACAGTATGCATGTGCACTGACTCAGTGACTCGATAGTAATGCTACCCGAGTGTAGTACTGAAGTAAATAGTGTATTGTGTATTGAAATAACTGTACTTGACACTGAGTATAGGATGATTGAAGGTTCTAGCCACACACAGTTATGTTTGAGAGTTATGAACTTATATGATTTAGTATCACTGAGATCAACATATAATAACTAGGAGTATTCTTGATGCCGCGCAGCACCCGGGAGGCTAGAAAGACTATTTACCTACTTGTAGAACCCTTGCCACTCGTTTACCTTACGAGGAATCGGACCTGGCGTGCCGCGCAGCGCCGAATACTTCCCAAGTTGTGTGATGGGGCCAGTTAGTGTATAATATATGTTCTGTATAGGTGCTTGCTAACCCCTATTACGAGTCCTGAGGTACGAAGGATGAGTCCTTACGCGCAAAATATGCCTGCGTGCCGAACGTTGTACCCCGTGAGAGCCTTTTGTGCCGAGAAGTCGTGGGAGTTATGTTTTGTATTGAAGACTACATTGTTGAAACTCCGATTGGAAGTCCGGTTGTATGTGAGACTACAAAACCACTTTTGGCGCATTTTTGTAGTCTCTGGGACCATTGTTTGCTCATTTGCGGGCTCAATTCTTCGTCTTATCTCTCTTTTATTTTCTCTAGTCCTGGTTGTATGCTATACAGGTCTACAACAATATTTTAGTGAATTTATCGATTGTGTGTCTTGTCCTAGTCCGCATGGCGGTTTTACTTTTATTGCTTATCGTGGGAATTGACTATTGTAGTGGCTTGTAGTCAGTGGCTGAGGTGCGGGCCGCGTCGGTTTGGATTCCTGGACTCTGATTGGCTCCTGCCTTCTATGACATAGGCTCTCTGCAGGTTCACCCGATCTGCAGAGCCATTACATCATTGGTATCTGGAATTGATTGCAGGCTGTAGAAGGGCCAGAAAAATTGTGAAAAATGCGGGAAATCCATAATATATTCAGAGCTCTATAGCAAATCAAGGAATATACAAGATGATCCTGAGAGGTCTAGTGAAATTCAAATGATACTTCAAGAAAGATAGGAATATTTGTGTCAGCTCTATGATATACAGTGTAAAATAGGGAGTATCTTATGCCCAGCTCAGGACTCGTAACCAGCCATGCACAGCATTGG